GTCATTGATTGTAATGCTTTAATTAATATTAATTGATTTAGATGCTTGAGAATGGTTATATATTAGCCTTTATTTTAATTTAATATACTATTGCTATATAAATTAATCAATTGTAGATCGGTGGTTTGATTGGTCAATTATTACGGGCAATCACGGGTAGATTAACAAAAATTAGCCAATCATATGAATGTCTGCACATGAATGGCCCGTGAAATTTTTCTTTACAATTATTTTGATTTTTTATTATGCAAACCGGGCTTTCATTTATAATTGAAAAATATCAATCATGTCAAAATTTATATAAATCTAATAAAAACTCATTTTCAAAAAATTGCAAAAAAGGGCTGTTTTAATAGATAACACCCCATATATGCAAAATTAAGTGCTAAAAACTTTTAATTAGAAGCCCAAGTCTAGTTTATATAATGAAATTTCAAGATATTTGAAATTTTTGATTTTTTTTTGTAATTTTTCTAATTTTTTGTTCGTTTTTGTTACACATGATCCTGTGATATAATTGGTCAATCATATTAATCTGCGATATAGCAACCTGAAATATTTAACATCCTAAAAATAATATTCAAATTATTACATTAAATTTGCTAATAAAAATTTAATTATAGTAAATTAATCGATATAATAAAATCTCTATAAAGTCACAAAATTTTGTTTTTAATATAGTCATGACTATATAAAGTGCACTCTATATTAGTCACACCTCTATATTTTTACTATTTTTTGTATCCCAAAGGTGTAACTACAGAGAGGTTAGACTGTATCATAATTCTTTACTTATCATTACTTATTACACAAGAAACTAACTTAATACGTAATATGTAACTAATTTTGCCCATCTTTAATCTATTCAATATTTAGAGTATGCGATGATCTGGAAATTTAAGGTCGAATTTTCGTGCAAATACGAGTTGGCGACACGTTCAAATAACCAAATAACAGGGGTTCTTATATTATATTTTTTTTTGTGCCTTTACATAACATAACAGAAGTTTATTTTGATTGGTTGTTAAAAACCCAGAAAATTTCTAGGATGAAATTTTATTGCTCACGAAACTTTCAAAAGATTAGTCAATACTTCATATGGAGTTTGATAAATAGAAAAACTCATGAGCCAGCTTTGAAGTCAAAATAATTTCAAACCAGGCAAAATGATCTACAAATTTGACCAGAGTTACGGCTCACGTTTTTTTCTATAACTACTAAGAATTGTAATGCTTGGGTAATAAAGAATCATCCTAAATCCCTTGATTTTCTGAAACAAGTTTTAGTTGTTGTAGTGATGAACCAAATTTTTCTAAAATTTGCGTTATACGTAATAGATGTGTTCAAGCAGAGAAGTAACAATTTCTAAAGTGCTCAGTTTACAAAGACTTGAGTTTAATATCTTCGATGCATTAACATTTTCGCAATAGACTATATATCTTATATGAAGGATTTCTGAGTTACCAGAACAATCATTACAAGAAGTTGAAATAGAAAATTGTTTTTGACTTTCTAAAGCCGAAAAAATACTATCTTGATTTGGCTAAGTTGTGCTTGTGATTTAACAATATGTATAAGCGTTTGGAATATGTGTGCTTACAATAATAATAAAATTCAGTAAGTTTTAAAGCAATAATTTTCATAGTATGTTTTGCCAAGATTTCTGATAATGTGATAACAATTTTGATGTTGGCGACGGCTGATGTTAGTATGTTCAAAAATAATTTTTGGAGTTGTGAAAAAAATTTCTCATTTCTTTCTAGTAACTGGGGGATCTCTGGTTTAAGTTCAATAAATTTAGAAAATTGTAAATCTAATTGATGCAAATTGGCATCGCTATTAATAAATAATTTAAGTGATTAACTGATTATATGACATATCAATAAATCATAATACATTCTCGAACCAACTGGCAGGAAATCGACCCAAATTTTAACCATAACCTCTAGACTGAATAAATCGAGAACCTTTAGAAACCTTGCATAATTAAATAGTGTCTTGAGAAATTATTCATTTATTCTATATTCTTTAAAACTAACTTTTTGCTATTGTCAAGAGATGTGAATGAAAACGGATCTTGCCAAAGAATGGGAATTGACATTTTGCACTAATATCAACTCACAAGTAAGCATTACTTAAATTCTTAAGAATAATATCTATTAATTCAGGCATATCGCCCATAAATATTTCTGATGCCATGAATTACTTTTGTATTATACGTGCATATGTATTAAATGAGAAATTGTTAAAATCCTCTTTTACATATTATATGAATCATATCCCTGTTTACAGATATAGATTACAAAAAATCTCCCACTATAACATGATCTGTGATAATTTAGATAAAAGTTCTTGTAAATTAAAGTAAAGAAAACTGTGCTACATTTAGTGTTAGAATTAGAACTGTTTAACATTTACTAGTAAAATTTTTACAAGAAACATTTTTAATTAGACCGCAGAAGATTCTTTCTTTCTTAATTAAAATTTTTGAATTATTTTAATAAAAAAAAATTTTACTTGATCTTGAAAGGATTTTAATAGCGATAGTATTAGGAAATTGTTTAAATTTTTTGTAACAAAATTAATAAATTCAAACTCCTTTAATTTCTGTTTACTGTACTTTTCAATAATAAATCTATCAAAATTCATTCAATTTAGCAATTGTACATTTAGTTCGAACACACAATGATCAATACTACTTGATTACTTCTCTAGCAATATAATTTCTATTCTTCTAAAACAAATATTAAAATACTGCACCCTAATTATATAACATTTTTGGTTTGACATTACACCTGATCTTGAAAATTGATTACTTACTTTATAGATTTTTTTTATATAAATAAATAATCTTTAAAGATTGAAGTTAGAATACTGGCTATTGAGTTGAAATGTAGCTTATTTATATGCAAAATTAGGTGCTGAAAACTTTTACTTAATAGCTTAAAACTAGTTCTTGTAATAAAATTTTGCAATATTGTTAATTTTCTAATTTTTTTTTAAATTTATTAAAAAAATTTCTTTATTTGGTTAAATCACCAGGGAGCGAATTAACAACATTATTAATTGATATATATAAGAAATTAAATCGCTCTATTACAAGTTAATAAATCAATATAGTAAATATACAAATATATAAAGGCAAAAATTTATTATTAATAAAGTGAAATTAATTAGTACCAGTACGATTACTGAAATGTGAGAGGGATGATTATGATTCCATTCAACTTTTTGTTCATGGTTTATGCTGATTCTGAATTTTTTTTTTTTTGGTAGGAATATTGATTTTTATATTCGTTTTTAGAAAGTGGTAATACTTTTACAGATTATATAACAATAACTATGCCAGTATACATATGATTATATGAAAATAATAATAATCTATGAACTGTATATTATATAGTATATATTAGGGTGTCCAAGATTATAATCCAGCATAATATGCTTTATAGTACATAAAATATTCGATTTGTATAATTTAAAGAAACATGCATAATCTGCTTTTTCTAAGAAAAAAGATACTCTATTGGCCAACAGGCATATATTGACAAAATTTATTTACACAAAATAATGTTATCACTGGCATTATCAAGTCAGCCAGGACCCCTGAATATATGCATAAAGCCTTTGTCATACACTTAGGCTAAATTTTTTTGAAAGTGTACAAAAATAAGCTTTTTGACAGCAAATTTGCTTGACCTTTAACATACACCTAATTAATAAAATTAAAAAAAGATTGGTGTACACTTATTATTATATTGAATTGGTATATCATACAGTATATATAAGAACATAAATTACAGGTGAAATTTACTATTAAATTTTGCTTTTTTTAAAATTCAAAGTTTCCCAAAGAAAAACTTTTTCCTTTACTAAGTAAACATCTTTTCAAGCTTTAAGTAAAGTTGTAGAGGAGTTTCTTGCGATCAAAATGGCGAGATATAGGTACTTTAGTCCTCGCAACTATATGTTTTCTTCTTTATTTATAAAGAAGAAAACATATAGTTGTGAAGACTAAAATACTTATATCTCGCAATCCACTAGGCCGATTTTAACGTTTTAACCGCCATTTTGATCGTAAGAAACTCCTCTACAACTTTATTTAAAGCTTGAAAAGATGTTTACTTAGTAAAGAAAAAAGTTTTTCTTTGGGAAACTTTGGATTTTAAAAAAAGCAAAATTTAATAGTAAATTTTTCTACAATTTACTAATTAATATCACTAGTTCTTACAAAATTAAAATTAAATTTTTGTCATACATTAGTTTAATATTAGGTTTACCCTTATTTGTACACTTATTAAAGTATAAAAAACTTATATTAAACTTTTGTCGTACATTTAAATGTATAATTTAAGCAATTATACACTTCAATAATAAAATTTATTTGTACACTTATATAAGGTTTGAAGACAAAGGTTTACATATATAACATACTCGTATTCAGGGGTCCTGTCCAGAAGTGGCTGTGGATGAACCTGAGCCTACTGAAAGAGGGAAAGATATACAGTCACAGGGTCTTGGGAGCTGAGATGTAAGCTTCGGAGAAGCTGGATATTTTTCAGAGAATGGGTGACAGGCCGCAGCAATTGAGGGCTGTGGTTGAAAATTCTCATAGCATTTACAGAAGGACATGCCTGGCTAAAACTTGGCACATAACGGGCCCTGGGATAATGAGCTCTGAGTTGGAGCATAGATTTAGATACCTTGGCACTTGATAACAGTGATGGTGAAAATCAGTGGGGAGGTGTTTGGCCACAAGATCTTTTGAAGTTGTGTCATTTTGAGGGCTGGAGGGCTGTTCGGCCAAGGAAAAAGGGTGTTAAGACTCAACTTAGGCTCTAAGTTTTGCGGGATAGTAGCAGATATGGTGATTAGTATAGTGGTAACACTGGAAGAGAAGATAACATCTGCTATTTCAAGGTTGGAGGCTTGTTGGAAGTACTAGAGGTAACAGCAAGAAGTTTGGTGTCGGTCATGGGCAAGATTTAGGACAGCAAGCTTCAGCTATTAATACAAGTGGTTGTTGAGGACATTTGTTGGCTAATAAAATTTGAGATAGAATGACCAGCTGGCTTGAAAACCCACCCAAGTAAGATCTGTATATATTAATGCTTGAAGTCCAGTTAGTACAATATTTTCTAGAAGCACAAAGTATAGGGAAGTTTTTTTTTTTTTTTTTTTTTTTTTTTTTTTTAAATTGCTTATACGCTGTAAATCTTTATTAATTAATATAAAACTTATTACAATTAGATATTACAGTGACAGAGTTGTGCTACACTAATTACCTAATGACACACACCCTAGCAATTTAGTCGTACTTTTACTATTTTAGAATCTAACTAACAGCTATTACCCCATCAATTAACTATTTAGTTGGCGTACAACCTACCTATTTCTATACAAGATCTTCTATATTGTTATTGGTACCTTTGTCCACCTATCCGCTTCTTGCAGCAACTTTCTTTTTCTTCCAGTTTGGTTCATTCTGGCAGTTTTTCACTCTTATTGCTCCCAAATTGGTTTATATAGTCTTATATTCGATTTAGTACCACTCTAATTTGAGTACATGTTGTACTGCCGCCATCGTGTTTGTATCTCAAGCTATCTTTTTTGGGATGCTGCTATAACACGATCCGTATCTCAAGCCACAACCTTCCCCAAACGAACACGGCCAGATTTATCGAAATTCCAGTTGTCATTCTGCAGTGTACCACTTGCTTTTTATAGTGCTACTATAGTTGGTATGATTGACTTGCAGTATGAGCTTGGTATTGCAAGAAGGCCTGGAACCTTGACTTATAACGCACCGGCATGGTACTTATTACTAAAATTAGTAATATACAACTCAATACCTAACGCAACTTCCAATCTTGTATAGCGCCAGAGGTGTTCTAAGCCTAGTTAGGCCAATCCTTTATCACAGATTATAACCATATTCACCACATTACCCGTTATTCTAGCTTTGGCACACTAGTATTACCCTCCCAATCAAGATCCCCAGACCGTCTAGGGGTTGTTAGTACTACCCTGCCAATTGTGAATTTACATACACAACCTATTTGCCCCAAAACCTTCTGCAATACTGCATATAACACCAACTCTCTATGGCTAGATCTCCTTCCGGAAATTTCTATTCTAGATTTGTACTTTACTTGGACTTTTTCCACAGAGCTCTATATCCGATTATTAGCTCCTAACATCATAAGGTTACAGAGTTTCTTTCGCCTCCAGCCTGAATTGAACCGTGGATCTTAACTTATACTGTGGGGGTTTGGCAGCTTAACCACTAAGCTATAGAGCCCAAACCCTAAGTATAGAGAAGTTAATCATGACCTTTCATGCTGATCATTATAGCATAGTTGGAGGCTTTGATAATACTATGGCACTTCAGTCGTTCAAGAAATTGTTGAGAGATGGCTTGGGTCACTCTTTTTATTAACAACAGGAATGGTGTATAAGGTGAATTTAATGAAACTTGGCAGATACTTTAACGAGAGTGTAGAGCTAGAGAGATTAAATGTACAGTATGCACTACTTGACCCTCATTTACAATATTTATAATCTTACAGCAGCTTGAGGATTTTATTTGAGAATCCACCAGGTCGACATTTATTGTTTTTGGTTAATTTTTGATAGTTTATAGCCTGTCATATATTTTATGTTAGGAGTGGTCTGTTAGAACTACAGTTACTATAGAGTTTTTCTTTGTGGTTGTGCCACAGAGAAGTTTTCTTGTTTTTTGTGTATAGAGATGGCCTGTCATAAAGACAGTTGTAAAAAAATTGCTTATTTTTTTCTATGACAGTCACGAGAGATTTTTGTATACAGGTGGAGTTGGTTCTATATGCAGTATCAAGAAAACTATTAGTGGCTTTTTGGTATAGATAGAACTACCAAAGGCAGTGGAAGTATCAGATTTGTCGACCAAATTCATATTTTAATCAAATTCGTATATTTTGATATACCACTGTTAACTCACGATCTAGTAGTTCAATATTGGTGACTTTGATACTAATAGAATCTTCTCAGTGAGAGGATTCAAATGGTATCAAAATCATCAAGATTCAATTACTAGATAGCGAGTTATTAATGATAGATCAAAATATATAAATTTGATTGAAACATGAATTTGGTCGACAAATCTGATACTAATCTGCTTAGCTATAATAGCTGGAAAGCATAGATTAAAAGGTTTGAAGGGCTCAATAAAGGACAGTTTGATTTGAATACTTATGAAAGGAATTAAGAGGACTACTTTTGGCAAGAAGAATGAAGCTAAATAGCTAAGAGGCGCTTTACTGATGTTTGTGAGTAGTGTCACAGAGTTTCTCAACACTCTGTGTATTCGTGGGTCTTTACTATCTAACTTCACTCGCTTGGCAGTTGTACGATGACTAGAGTATCGTACAGGTACTCTACTGTCTGTTTATATATTTAATATGTATAGACGACCATTTAGTGTATATGTAAGATTATTTTTACTAATGCTGAAGCTAAAACTTTTTGAAGCTCCTTTTATTATTATTTATTGTTCGCTTTAAATATTACATAATTTAACCCGGATATTAATATATCCAGTTACACACATTAGACTATCTACAATTAGACTTTTAATTAAATCCTGCATTATGCAAATTCCGATCACGCCATCAACACACCCCGATCATGATCGGACCCAACACTACACAAACCCGGAGTATCAATTTAACCTGTGACATGAGCTAAAACCCCAAGAACTTCGTTCCCGAAGTTTCCACCAATGTAATTATATAAACATTCCTATTTACTAATACAAACTATACTAATACAAATTATACTAACACTAAAATCTTCTTTTTTTTTTTTCTATTGTTTCATAATTCATTTCTTACTTCGGTATACTACTGACTGTAGCATAATTGTTCCTTATTTTAATACTCTTATTACCAACCTTTGCATAATTATACTTTACTTCGGTACTCTTATTACTAACTGTCACGTAAATAAATCTTACTTCAGTACTTATTACCGATTGTCACATAATTTTGGTTAATTCCATCGACTAGCATAAATCACGTGCATCACGTGAACCAAACAATTTGAAACTTTCATATTCAAGACAAGTATCAAATTTTTTTATTTTTTCTTCTTTTTGAACTTTTTATGTTGCGCTTTCATTATCATCTATGCATCACAGTAACCTCAGATCCATTCTCTCTAGCTTTCACACTTCAAGTCGGCTTCCAAACACCAAATTCACCAATCCATCACATCCAACAATATGATCCAGATATAGATGCTTATAGAATTCCACTTTTCTATTATGACCCAACACGATTTGCTTTTCGTTCACATCATTCCTTTCACCTTGGCTGATGCTAATTATGCCATGATTTTCACTATTATTAAGCCTTCGGCTATTTGATATTCCCAATTCACATTTTCAACATTACCCTTTGCGATTTTTCCATAATTTATATAGTATAACATTACAGGATAATTATCACAATCGTTCGTCAAAATCATACATTTTTTCATTCATCTATCTACTACAGGAGCATGGTACGTATTTGTCATATACTCATTGCCTTTAATGCCTATTTCCTTTTCATTACTTTTCATCACAACTACACCTTTATTCATATAGTTTGTATTTATATTTGTTTTAACTTCAATTCCATTAGAACAAGCTTCAGCTCTGCCATCTAAGCTAGTTTCCCTGAAGCTACCATCTTTATCGATATTCAAACACCGGGCGGGTACATTGTTTTCATCTTTTTCAACATCGATTTCATAATGGTGACAATCTCCAATACATGTTCCAATAGTATTATCCATATCAGCAGGATTTTGGTAGTAATCAACCGCCTTATGCCAGTTCTTATCATCATTGATTCCATGGACAAAAGCCTTTCATTCATTCATTTTATCTCCAATTCCATAATAATAACAATAATCTTCTTCATTAGTTCCGCCAACCTTTCTCATATCTTCAGATTTTTGATAATAAATGATCGCTTTATGTTTATCCTTTTCAACATCGACACCATGATGATGACGGTCTTTACTAAAAATTATATCAGCATTGCTCTATTCTGCTGATTTTTGATAATGTTTGAATGTTTTAGGTTTGTCCTTTTTGACCCCAACTCTATAAAACCCCGCTTTACTGGACTTATCACTTTCATCATCATCGACAAAACCTTTATCTTTGCATCTAAAGATCTTCACATCTTGGATTTTATTATTCGGATCTGTATCCTTTTTCTTTTCCCTATAATCATTCTTTTTTCGATGTTCATATTGATCTTTTCGTTTCATCATGTTCATAGATCATAGCTGCAATGGGCAACATCGAGCCAAATGTCCTAGACATCAGTATACATAACACAGCTGAGGTCTTCATTTTGCTTGCTTCATCTTTATATTTTTTATGACTTCAACTACTATTTTCACCATATCTTCGACCAATGATACCAAAAGATCATGGTCATTTATTTTCTTTCATTTACCACTTAGGTATATTCTTTCGCTATATTTGTTCAATGTCATCACTCATACACTAAACTTTAACTTACAATGTTCTTTCTCTTTTCGTATCACTTGAACTATATGTTCCACTCAATCACGTCGGCTATAAATTTCACTTGCCGAGCTTCTTCAAACTTTGCTTGTTGCAAGGGCACCTTTGTTTGCCCAGGTCCTTGTGTCATGGAGTTTCTCAACACTCCGTATATTTGTGGGTCTTTACTATCTAACTTCACTTGCTTGGCAGTTGTATGATGACTGGAGTATCGTACAGGTACTCCACCATCCGTTTATATATTTAATACATATAGACGACCACTTAGTGTATATGTAAGATTATTTTTACTAATGCTGAAGCTAAAACTTTTTGAAGCTCCTTTTATTATTATTTATTGTTCGCTTTAAATATTACATGATTTAACCCAGATATTAATATATCCAGTTACATGCATTAGACTATCTACAATTAGACTTTTAATTAAATCCTGCATTATGCAAATTCCGATCATGCCATCAACACACCCTGATCGTGATCGGACCCAGCACCACACAAACCCGGGGTATCAATTTAACCTGTGATAGTAGAAAGTGTATTGATTACCCTCCACCTGGTATTAGTATAGTGGTATGAACATGGGACTTAGCACTAATCATTGTGATGCTAAGCGTTATACAGAGGCTGAGTAAGCTTTGCAACTTGAGAGGATCAGATGTCATTAGAAGAGAATAATAAGTTATAGGTTAAGATTGCTAAATCAAAAACGAAGCAGTTGTAAAAAGGTAAACTCATCCTAGTAGAGAAGGCAACTGGCAGAGAGTGTTTGGTAAAGTTGTTAAATTGTTACTTGAGGCTGAGACCAGTTACCTTATCAGAGAAGCTGCTGTCTCTGTCTAGAAATGGAGAAAGTTATTCGTAGCAGTAGTTTTAGCAACTATAAACAATTTGTTGAAAATGCTAGGCTGCAGGAAGATATATAGCATATAGCTGAAGATGACACTGGAACAGACCCAATCGATTGGTGAGAAGCAGTACAGGTGTATATGAAGTTAGTCAGTGCTGCTGGGATGGAAGCTTCTAAATTAATGGGCTTTGTCTGGTTAAGGGGAAAGTAGAGATAATGTATACTTAAAACCTTATCTTTTCATAATGATTCTCTGCAAGACCCATAGTTGTTTTTCATTTGTAACACCCCTCGATAAGGGACAAATTTAGCTGCCCGATACGAAAGTATCGGAGCAGCATTTTGTCCCGAATCGATTATAGGTGTATTGTAAGTAATTATTGATGCATGATTATGATTTATCGTATGATTGTGTAATTTGATGCATTTTAGTAATTTATTGTGTGATTTCATTAATGTATTGCCATGATTTTGTATATGATGTTATAATGTATTCAGAATAGGTAAGCGTTAGTTAGTATTTAAGAAGAACAGGTTTGTTCCTAGGAAAGGTAGCTTCTGTTTTTTCTGCTAACCCAACTTTGTCTGGTTTTTTCACTCTGCCTAACCCTTGGGCATGATACTGGCATAATCATATAGTGACCGGAGGGTTTTATTTAAACTAATTTTTGGTTAGTTTATGGCCTATCAGGCAACAGGTATAAATTTTGTGTTTTTAGGAGTGGCCTGTCAGAATGACAGTCACAATGAAGTTCTTTTGTTAGTTGTGTGGCCTGTCAGAGTAACAGTTACAGAGAAGTTTTCTTGTTTTAAGTATATAGGAGCAGCCTGTCAAGATTTTCTACATAGGGTGACCTGTTAGGACAACAGCCACAAAAGTTTTTAATCACAGTTGTGTGGCCTGTCAGGTTGACAACAGTCATGAAAGATTTTTATCACAGGCTTTTCATAGCACTCATTTTTAGTGTTAGAGTTAGTAATACCACCAAAATTGATTTTCAAAAAAGGCCTATTTCATCTTTATTAGAGCAAATTAAAATTTTTTATAAGAAGGAGCAAATAAAATTTATATATTTATACTCCTTATAATTTCGTCTATTCAAAAAAAGTGTCAAAAAATTTTGTCTTTTAAGTCTTCAAATTTTAATTTCGGGTTTTTGAACCTGAAATAATTTCATTGACATGTATAGTTAGAGTAATGTAGAGAACTTGGGTTTTTTCACCTGCCCTCTTGAGATGTACAATTGCTTTAGAAATTATCAGCTTTTAGGACAGATACTTTCTGGGTTTTTGTTTCCATGAAGGAGAAACCATAAACTACCTGATGATAGTTGTCTTTGAGTTTGGTAATAGAAGGTAACCTGTTGGGATGATAGTTACAGTTTGGTTTTGTAGTAAGAGTGGCCTGTTGGGACAACAGTCACATTTGGAGTCTGTCATACCTTTGTACATGATCACATAGCAACTTGATGGTCTATTTGAGAACTCATCGGGTTGACATCTATTGTTTTTTAGTTGTTTTTGGTTAGTTATGGCTTGTCGGATGATATTCATATGGTTTGTTTTCTTTAGAAGTGGCCTGTTGGAACGACAGTCACAGTGAAATTTTGTTGTTAGTTGTGTGGCCTGTCGGGATGACAGTCACAAAAGTTTTCTAAAGTTTTTTTATATATATTAAAGCGGCCTGCCAAAACAACAGGCGTGAAGAAATTTCTTATGTGTTTTTACAAAGGAGTGGCCTGTCAGAACGACAGTCATATAAAATTTTTGTTTTCTAGTATTAGAGTGATTGTAAGAGAACTTGGGTTTTTTCCAGATAGGTCTATCTGGTTTTTTGCCCTGTCCCTTGTGACATACAAAAGTGATTATGTTGGAGTGGCCTGTTGGGATAACAGTTACAATAGCTTTTGTGTGCAGTTTTTTATATAGTGTGTATTTTTAGTTTTAGTAGTCATAGGGAAACTTAGGGTTTTTTTCAGATAGAATTATCTAGTTTTTTTCACTCACCCCTTGCGATATACAAGAGAGATTATATTGAAGTGACAACAGTCACAGTAAATTTTTGTATGCAGTTTTTTATATAGTATATGTTTTTAGTTTAGTAGTAGTAAAGGAACTTAGAGTTTTTTCCAGATAGAATTATCTGGTTTTTTTCACCTGCCCCCTGTAATTTTAGAAAACCATCAGTTTTTAGTACTTTCATTATTTTCAATACTTTTGAGTTCTGCACTGTTAGTAGTACAGCATGTATAGCATGTGAGTGGAAGGGACAGATAACCTATAGTTGTTTTTTATTTGTAACACCTCTCGATGAGGGACAAAATGTGTTGCTAGCTTACTGTTATTTTTATAATTTCGTGATTTTGGCAATAATAATAATAGATTCAATAAAATTGATAACCTATGTAATTTAAAATCAAGTGACTTGTATAAATATTTTGCGAATACTATACTGTCTCTGATAAATATAGGAATATAGAAAAATGATACTTTCAAAAGCAGTATATTTTTTTTTTTTTTTTTTTTTTTAACAAATTCGGCAGTCTTGCCTTCACTTTATTAGGCTTTGTAATAATTTTCTAAACTATTAAAAT